TTGCCCAATGTCGTTGTATTGCCTTTTCAGCTGGCTCACCCTCACACTCGTTTCTATTTGTACCTTGGGCCTTATTCGACACCGCGTGATGGCTTCTTCGTCTCCTACAACTTCAATTCCGATTCAAGAACCGGTGTTTCTTCAATTTCTTCATGATGTTCACCATGCTTATCTCCTACTACACCGAGCAATGGCGTTACTTCCACCTACTCTCATCCCCAATATCGAACCTACACCTCTTCCCAGTACAGACGTATGGAATCAACCTGATGGGCTACGACCGCACTACTCGGACCGGACCAACGCCTTTATTGACACTGCCCACATCCCTTCGCCGGACATAGCTGAGGAAGAGACACTTATGGATGAGCTTTTGGAAACAAACCTTCCTGAACCACATCACCACGTTGCTGCCCCGTCACCTGAAGTCCTCCCTGCACCCTCGAAGCTTTCAACCACCACACCAACAACTCCGAATCGCAAACAGAAAGCCAAAGCAGTTCCCAAAGCACCTGCGAAACGTCGTCGCCGACACGACAAATCAAGATCCCGCTCCTCGAGCCCATTGTCAATTTGGACCTCTGAAGACAAACAGAAACTTCGTACTTTGAAGGCAGATGAAAAGTCTCGATTTTCGTGGCGAGTGATCTCGACCAAGATGGGCAAATCGGAGGAAGACGTTCGCTCTATGTGGAATAAGATCAAAGACAAACTTGGATGACCACCGGCGACATGCGAACAAGAAAAAGAGGCCCGGCGGCACCGTGTACCATCTTCAATACCCAACCTCCTGTGTATCTATTCTCCTTTGCGTTACGGTATTGCCTAACCTAGCACTACATTATTTTAAAGTCTTAACCCTGTCGGTATGGTTGCTCTACTTGAACCTTCAAACTCCACATTATCTACACCGTTCGCCATTTATTATGTCTCTCCGCATTCACCTGGACCGATATTGCCAGCAGCGAGCTATGGCCCACGATGGTATCTCTCCTACTCGACGATCACGCTCTCCGACCAGGGCACCACCTTCCGCTACGGGTTCTTCACCTTTTCAGCACCCACCCGGCCGGACATCTCCGCCTTCTACACCCCATCGACCGGTTATTTTCCAATTGGACCTGAAACCTATGCAGCAATTGGCAGCCAGAAACCCATATTACAACATCCTGGCCCCCAAGGTCGCAGGCAACCTCTCCACTGAAGCATATGATAGCTTGTTCCAGACCTTCAAGGTGATCTACCCTGACTACGCCCGCAGTCATTTCGTTTCAGACCTGAAAACAGTGGTGACGGACACGCTTCTACAGAGATGGTCGATACATTTACAGGCGACGGACTTCTACATGATGATCGACACCGACCAAGGAGCTCAGATGCTTGATGACCTCCCTCATTCGCTCCTGGACATTTTGAACTGGTTCTACCCGTCATGGAAAACTCATCAACATCTCGATGCCTTCACTTCTCGTGACTGCTCACCTTTGTTGCTGACACCCCATCCAGATCCGCAAGACACGGGCTTTGCTGTCCATCTTCAAGTGATTCCTCGAGGGCATCCATTCGTCACTGCCACCCGATACACTAAGACCGCTGCGTGACAAGCTTTTCGAGATACAACCTTGACCCGCTCACGTCTATAGAAAAAGGGAAAAGACCTGATCTTCAAATCTTCCGCCTGTCTGTTGATCCTTTTTTGAGTTCCTATGATCTCATGGTGTCCCCTACTATACTTCTCGTTGTTTTTTCCAATATGGACTTCTTTCAACGGAATTTCGGCTTCAGCTCATTTCGTTTCGATATCATATTAATGCTTTTGTACATGGCGACCTCCGCGACTGATGATGTTCTTCGGCTGGACCCAACCCGCTCCTCACCTACCTCGGTACAAGGCCCAGATTCACATCTACCACCCGATGATCCTACTTCGGCATCATACATTCCCAGGGCAGCCAGAATGACTCCAACCTCTACGACCGTTCATTCTATGTTTATTAAGAAGCTTAGCTACCCCTTGTCTTCTCGTCCTGCTGAACTTTGGATCGTGGAAAGGACACTAGATGGTATTGAAACGTGGAAACCAGTGGAAACATTTTTGGAGAACATGCACCTTACCAGTGATCGTGCCACCTTACGCACCACGGCTAACCATTGGCGACAGTACTATGATGTACCCATCCAATCATCTTCCTCCTCTACGGCAACTTCCGTTCCTGTTCTCCCACATCCCGAACACTCCAACGTCTACGTTTCTCAACCGTATGAAGCGATACCGGACCAGCTTCACATTTTACAATCATGCTGGGGACGTTCGGCTCAACACCATTCACAAGGCACTACCACCTCTCTATCTTGGCCACCATGGAGATCTACACCACCTTCCTCACCACCGGCAACACTTCACCGGACCTTACATTCCAATAACCCTACCGCACCTGCTCACCATACACATTGTCCACTTGCTGCGAACGAACCTGACCCTATGGATATGTCCGACTCTAGTGTGTAACACTCCACATCACTTTGCGGAATGAAAAAGAAAAATGACCAAACGTCGATTCGTGACCATGTTGTGTGTACATCGTCTTCTTCCGTGTCTTGCTTGTGGGTTTTATTTTTCGACCTCTATAGTATTCTTATGTTGCAGCCTGGGCTTCACGCTTGATACTCGACGCCATGGCTCACTCTTCTCGCCCTCACCCATATCGCGCTACATCCAGGGTTGATACACCACAAGGTCCCCGAACTGCCGCATGGCTTGCCGGACATCGAGGCCTTCCTGGTGATGTGGACCCTCCTCCATACAGACCTGTCCTGATTTTAGTTGACTACTCTCCTCTACAGGAATTGACACACCGTAGTGAACCTGACCGCGATCGCTACATGGCTCTTGCCAATTCAAATTTGAAAAATGTTAGTGCAGGCGAACTTGAAGCTCTTTTTACCTGGTCACGCCAGCTGGAACCAATCGAAGCAGGCATTCTTCCCATTCGAGACCTACGTACCGCCATCACAACGAGATTACGGACCCAATGGGACATTCAATTTGAACCTTCGAATTTGGAGTTTCGCTATGGCGATCTGGAAGGTGACGCTTTCCAAGTTCCCAATGATTGGACCGTCATGCAGCTTTTGGAAGAATACCGTCCTGATTGGCGAATCCGGCAGTACAACTACATCGAATCCACCTTGCTCGTACCGGGTACTTCACAGCCTTTCGTACTACGTCTGAGATGCCATAAGGTTAGCCCGGGGGTCATCCTACCTTGATGTGCTTCGCTGATGAACAGGAAAATGCATGACTTCTTCTTTCTCCTTTCTTTCATGAGACTTTATTGACACGGCGGACTCTTCGGATTTTCACCTTTCGATTCTTTTTCCACCACTTTTTCTTCTTTGCATTGCTCCCTCCTTTGATCATTACTATTATTATTCTCTGGTTCGGCTTATTTTTATATATTTTCGCGTCCTCAGCTTTTGGGTTTGGCATTGAACGCATTTCGTGACCGTCTTACCCATGGAGCATAAACGTGACGCCACCGTGGCTGGCTTGGGTTGGCCTTCGAATCCCAACCGTGGACCCGCTTCCACAGCCCCTGAGCCAGAGTCAGGCGGCCCAGCTTCTGAACTATGTCATCCTGTTGTGCCTGACCCTACGACCTCGACTACCTCGGCACCTTTGACCGCCAACACTACAACCAACGACATCGGAACCACTTCTCACAACGATACATACTCAGGCCCTGCACTGCCTGATGTTCCTTTCCCGACTGAGCCAAGTCCTACCTACAACTTCTTCCATCGTGCTCACTTCTCATCACGCGTGGTCCACCAGATCCATTTCAAGATCATTACGCACTCCAACAACACCAGGGGGTTATTCATCGAGGAGATCCCCATGTCGAGGCTATCCAAATGTCGTGATCCCGAGCACTACTTTTATGGCCTTTCGGGAGTGGTCCCTACGCACTGCGGACTATTGGCGCCATCACTTTGAGATTCCTCTAGTACATGGGCATCATCCTTTTCACAATGTTCCCATTGAGACCACCTCTCCTACGGAGGCACCCCGCTTGACTACGAAGATCCAGGAGCTGGCCAAACAACTTTCAGCCACTCTGACGGAAGCGATGGCATCTGGACAAATCAACGATACATGGAGGATGGTTGAAGGCATGAGCTTCCGCGACGCGATCCAAATACTTCAACTCGAAGCGAATTTCCCTTCTGAGTGAAATGACCGCAGCTCTGTATACTAGCATCGTGTAGTCTCATTGGATTTGATTGGTTCTGCCGACCTCAGCCGCGATGATCTTCCAAAATCAAACCCCGCTACATGCGGGGTGTGTGTGTGTGTGTAACATCTGAACAGATGTAAAACTTCCTTTGTTTTTATCTCACATTTGCAGGGGGCAGGAGCGTCATGGTAAGTCTCCTGCCAACGAAGACACTTACCATCGACGGTGATACCAGACTTGGCCAGTCTGGCGTACCTGCATCAGTTTTGTTTTCATGATGGGATGTGGCTAACCCGAGAACCACCAAGCCGTCATTCAAACAATTTATTTTACATCTGGAATTACGTTTGATCATTCATGCTTGATTCAATTGCATCAGAACCTTCCTCAGTATTTTCGCCGAAACCATGTCGCCGACAGTATTTTGATTTTCTGGATTTTTCGCCGAACATGTCGCCGATGTATTTGGATTATTTTGTCAAAACTACGTCGCCGAGTTATTTATTTATTTTTGATGACGATCTTGGCCATGGAAACCATTCAGGAGAACTTCTATTATTCGTAGGATGCATCGTTAATTTCATTGTTTCGTATCTAATCTGCATGTTTCAGGATTCAGTTCCTGCCGGATCATATAATGATCCATTCTTGTCTAGTGTGTGTGTGTGTGGTTGTGCTTATAGTAATTCATTCACATTCATCTTGATTTGACTTTGGCTGCCTGCCAACAAGCAAAATCATCATTACGACTTGCTGAGGCTCATGATTCAAGTACGACATTTGCTGAATGCCGCTCCTCTCCAGGTATTGAAAATGCGGCACTACAGAAGCCTCCTTCGTGTAAAAAAGTTCGTCAGAATCCAAATACAAAAGCCAGCGACAGCCCAATTCTGGAGCCATTTGCAGCGCCAATTCAGCATCCAGGAGCTGCCGAGCAGAAACTTCATTGAAGAAGTTGCTCATAGCACCAAAAGTATCAGGACTCTTCACAGATTGTTCCTTCAACAGGTCTGGACCTCGAATCTTGTGCAAGACACGCAACGCTGGAAACCGCCGGACTACATCCAGGGCAGCCAAATCCTCTGCAGAATCAATAAAAATGAGAATCCTTGCAAAACCTTTGGAAAGGTGATAGCGGATGAACGACTCCAGTGGCCTTGCACTTGGAGCATTCAGAAAGCTGACGGTCGAAGCCACCATGGCTGCTCCACTTTCGCTTCCACCAATGTCTCGAGGAACCGATGCAGGCACCAAAGATGCAATATTGTGCTCCAAAATGTCCCAACTTTCAGGACCCTCATGGTTCTTGAATCTAAACCGACCAATGAAAGGAGTTTGCAAACCACCCTCCAGGTACTGCAACAGCCAAAACTCGTCATCTGCCCACATCGAACTCAGCGGCACAGCTTGATGCTCAAACCATCTTGGCTTCATCTCCTCAGTTTCGATGGGATCACCTTCCCAATTCTGCAAGTCAAAAACATTCACTTCCATAGCCTTTGGCTTTGTGTTGTAGATGTACGTCAGGCAGCCTCGCCACTTCAAGTCTGCAAGCTTTGAAACCAGCCCGCACTCCTCTTTCAACTCTCTTACGGCACTCTCCTCCAAAGTTTCTCCGCTCTCCAGCTTTCCACCAAACCCATTGAACTTACCTTCTCCAAAGCCTCGCTTTTTCAACCCAAGCAACACCAAGGATTCGGAAGGCCGCCGCGGATATATCCTGGGCATCGTCAGAGTCTCAAAGCACCCTCTGGGACTGGATCGACGCTCTGGACCGCCATTCTCTCTACTTTCTATATCTTTCTATCTTGTTTACAGGTGGTGGTTGGTAGCCAAAAATAAAGCCCGGCAAGCGCCCAAAGACCCTACCCCAAGACCTGTCCAGCTCATCGGTATTCATAGGCCAATGTTCCAGGAGATCCACGACAGCCCATGACTGTTCAATTATTTCAATAAGATTTACTGGGTTCGTGGGCGGGGACAGGGATCCTAAGCTCCCAGAAAACACACGGGCATTCATACATTCAACTCTATGGTAGCCTTTTTTGGCAACTTCAAGTGATTGAGTCAACTATGAAAAGCGTCTCATATCCAGACTGCCGAATTTCGTCCCCAACGCTGCCCTTTGCCAGGGATGCGTATAGCGCCAAGGGTCAGAGTGAGCACAGACTTCTCGCGGCTCTGCATTTCGGAATTGCTGGAGGATGCAAGAAAATCAAGGAGAAATTAAGTCATATTAAGTCGAATTGTTGTGATGGCTAGTGGTAGCAGTCGGCTGATCACATATTGGATTGGCAATCGCGGCCGCAGAAAGCCATATTGTCCACACACTGAATCGAGCTGGAGGTCAGCCACTGCATCACTTTAGTGGATACAGGAACAAATCAGGCAAGGCTTCATGGATACGTTTCATGCATAAGTTTGGACACATGCGATACGAGTACAAACGTGCTGGCTTTGTGAATGGAATGCACGCACATGTCATTTGCTGTTCTCTGGTTTCCATCATCTCTTATGCCTTGCATGATACAGGCCTTGCAGGTCTCGCATCGTTTGAATATCTGGTGCTTTACGATGTGCATAATTCACAAACAAAATAATCACAACGCCAACATAGAGACAAAGAAATACACTATATAAATATGCAAAATAGCTCTTGTATGTTTATGAATCTGAATCTGGTTCGCCTGAAATGAATATCAACATACGTTTTGGAAACCGCCACCAACTGTATCGCATTCAGCGCATTGTTGCGTTGAGGCTTTGTATGTAGACGTGCAAATATGATCAAATATGCGTGGATGAATCTAGATTTATCATGATTTATCTAGTCTTTGTACACATGCGCGGGCATGTATCTTATCAAAATATGCATCGTGTGCTTTTCTGTGTGGTCCCCACCAAGGAAGAACTCTCCGACTCAAAGAAAAAACTCTGGAGGATAGCAAGCTGGCAGGAATGCAGATATCAACGTAATAACACGGCTCAATCTAATTCACTTGCAAGCAGGGTCAGCAGGATGTAATCTTGAGTCCGCAAGATCCGATTGACAAGTTCCTACTCTTCTTTCTCGCTGCTGTCGATCCTGGGCTGCTCAGCCAGGTTTGAAGCCATGATTGGCTGACTGCGGAAAAATTCCACCACTCTGGACTCTAAACCACGGTGAAACCGATCTATAAATCTATTATAGGACAACATCATCAAAGTTAGCGGCCAGCGATTTTTTACATAGCCACACTGACACTTGTCGCTGCACAGGCTTCAAAATCTCAAATGATCAGGTGTGCAAGCCTTGCCTCCCGCATGGCCTCGCGCATAAGAAAATCTGTGTATTGCTCACGGTCAGTCAAAAGTCAAGAATAACATCCAAGTGATTCAGCACCCTCGGCGCGACTGTGGACTGTGTGTTGATGTGGGGGTTGTCCAAAATTACGGTACCCGAAAACTGCCCTTACGCCGCGCTTTCGCGAACCTTTCGCGCCCTTTCGCGCCCCAGCAGAATCGGGACATGGGATTATGATCGGGTTTTCGTGTGCAAATTCGTCACAAAGATTCACAGGAGGATTGTATTTAAAAACATTACTGATTGGAGATCCGTTTTCAAAGCTGCTCTAGTTACATTCCTGCTGTGCTTGATGAGTCTGTTCCAGTCCACAGAGTCGATGGCATTGGGCAAGTCAATGTTCCTGTGAAGGCGTTTGACTTCTGGACATTGGTTTTGCACCCATTCTTTGAAAAAGATTTTGAAGTTGCGACAATGCAGAAAGAACTAGCCCATTTTGGGCCAGGGTTGGGTCCGGGAGGATTCGCCTTTCGCGAACCTTTCGCGGACCTTTCGCGAACCTTTCGCGGATTTCTCGTCTAAAAAATGAAATTTCAGAAACTAAATGTTTATGCAAGGGTGTCTTTTATAATTTATGCCAATCATGCAGGGTGCCACTGCCAATTGTCAGAACATGGGACAATACGAAACATGAATCCTGTGGCAGTTCTGCAAGGAAAACTGCGAAATATGAATACTATATATTTATAAATAGTGGTATTCAGACCTTTCGCAGACCTTACGCCGCGCTTTCGCGGCCTTTCGCCACTGCAGCAAAACACACACATCCATATCTGCAGATGTCCCTCGGATACTAAAAGCCTTGCATGGGTTTTAGGACGACTCCCATGTGTGTTGCACCTTTCCTTCAACCTTGATTCCACTGTGATAAACTAGCCCTTACTAACCTGACCGGTCCCCTGCGAACAGTGAACAACGCCATGAATGCCAAACACAACCCAAGTGCAGCACCACGCACGGCATGATGGTACCCAACACGACTGCCCTCCACAAGACCAGTGCCCTCAACTCATGCATACCACTGTTCCAAAGCGTCCCGCTTTCTGCACCAAATGTATTGTTTCTACTTGTCCTTGCGCATAGGGAAAAAGGCAAGAGCAAATTGCCAAATTCTATCAAATAAATGGCCTTGTGCGCATCTTCGCCAGGGATGCTGGAAGAACTTGCACTCTTGTTCAGGCAAGATGGTGGAAGCCTGAGCTGAAATTTGCATACAAATTATGATATGGCATGGTATGCCAAGCACATGCCAATGTCATGTTCAGCTTCAGCATTGTTGCATCTGTGTAGTTCAACACAACAAACTTGGTTTGCACACTCCTGCAAGTTGCATGAAATGTCGACCTTGCATAATCTGAATCGTAAAACACGAACATCTGTTCACTCTTTGATGCGCCACCTCCGAATTAGGCATGATAGGCTCTCATGCCTTAAGTATCTTCCCGTGCGGGTACATTGTAGCACATCAAGGTGCGTCAACATCTACCAGCAAGCATCCGATAGGGCAGCAAATGCGTGTGGAGCGGATTCAACAAATTATTTCACTACCCTAAAGCGCTTCTGCAAAGGTGCGTTGGCTTGTGTGCGTGTGTATGGGTGGCTTGCAACATTGGGTGGATGGATGGATGGATAGATGGAGGGCGGATGGAGGGCGGATGGAAGGGAAGGAGGGAGGGATGAAGGGGCAAAGTGATGAAGGGATGAAGGGATGGATCGGTGGATCGGTGGATGATAGATGCGCGCAACGATTTGAGAAGCATCCAGCCTAGTTCCCTAGTTTGTGTCAAGCTCATGACGCGACATCTCAACTGTTTCCACTTCTTCTTGAGGATACTATTACATACTATTACTAAGGTAAACATTCCCACGAAAATCCAGCAGTACTTGTTGTACCTAATGCCTTATGCGCTGACCCTCAGGTAATCAAACAACACAACAGAACACCAGTGCGCTGACACTTTTGAAAACTACATACTGAGAAAGTTCGCACTTTGGCGCAATCTTTGAAGCAGTGCCAGCTTTAGAGCCATGTGACTGCCACTGTTCAGGACTGGCCTGAGAAAGCACCAGCACAGTGGCACGCGATTCTCAAGCATTTGGATGCATTTGGGGCTGCTAGATTCTGAAATATTCTGAATATACTTTATGAATCTTTATGATGCTTCTAGGCTTTGCCCAGCCTGCTTGCCAGGTTCCCATCTGAGAATGTCAAAGTACATGCCATCGAAGAAACGCCAACCTGGAGCTTGAAACTTGCAGCAACTTGCAGCCATAGCAGTTGCAGTCTCAATCTCAGGCTTTGGCGCGCTGGAGTTTTGGTCTCAATGTTCTCATAGTAGGTTATGAAGGGCCCTGTGGCATTGCCCATTGCATCGCCTTTTGTCCAGACATGACCTCAGATGAGTCTTTTTTGAAATTGCCACAGAATAAGTCATTGTCATTGTCGTTTGAAGACGGGATATATACACATATATGTATACACATGCTCCATAAAACGGGGTGTCGTTAGGAGGCTCACTTTGTTCTCTTGAACGGGATAGAAGTGTCATAATGATCACAATGCAGGGCCAGGCCAACAGAGGTCTTGCAAGTGTACCTTTCTCTGCAGGGCAGAATGATCCACTCTGCTAATCAAATCAAATCCAGCGCGAAAAAGGACCCTCCTCAGAGTGGCTTCAAGTGCCAACATTTTCCTGGGCTGGTCGGCCTTAGCACCAGAGAATCTAGACAACAAATGACAACAGTGTCTTTGAGGCTTACCAAGACTGGCAAACCAGCAGTGTTTCCTGCACAGAATTCAAATGTACTTGTCATAATCTTGTCATCACGTCACCTTTTCTCACAGTGAGTCGCAGTCCTCTGTCTGAACGCTCTGGCAGGCCACTAGAATTCATAAAGGCAATGATACATCGATTTTTCGTATGTGATGCCCTTCGTTCTGGATCCGTGGTTTTGTATTCAATAATCTAGGTTTAAGAGACATCAAATCAGCCCTTTCTGTACATGGCTCGCATGTCATCTGTTCAAAGGACACCGCACGGGAGATGTGGTCAAAGCCTACGACATACTCATAGAACAAGGGCGTTCCGAAAATCCAAACAGGCCCGTTGTCTGTTGTCACATAGTCCATCTCACCAAAGCCCGAGAAACAGAAGCTCTTGTCCGGGTATGCTTCATCAAATGATTGAGTGACAAAGGCCCAAGAGGTCAACTCAAATGCCTTCACTTCACCACCAGCTTCTACATGAAAAAAGATGGACGGAATTTCTGCAAGCCCAGCACCCTCTGATAACCAGCTTGAACAATTCAAAAGCAAGTCCTGAAACAAAGTAGAACTAGGATTCCCTAGTTCACGGCACCTGGCCCATTCTTGGCAGATTGTGGTTTCCAGCGTTTTTACTTGCTGTGGCGGCCCCGTAATCAACGTTGTTCCAGAATCAGGAATAATCCCACATGGGCTACTCATTCCAGCTGTCTTCTGATCTTGCCCACAGAAGATCATCTGCGAAGGTGCAGCGTGATTTCGAGGGCCAACTGACATACCAACAAAGCTAACGCCCCAGTGCTGCTGGCCAATCTGTGGGATTGGGCGCTCGAAGGGGGCGACGCCCAACCGCAATGCACCAGGTTTCCCGGAATCTAGGAAGCACAAAGAAAAACGTCTGACACGAGCAGCTCGGAGGAACAGCTGCTCGTCCTTGACGCGATTTCTTTGCCTCGTTGCCCGATACGATTGATTGAACTCATTGCCATCACAAATTTTGGGGAAAAGTATGCAAGCCCCGCTTGGTCTTTTGATTGAGGCGGAGGTGGAGAGTCCACTTGCAGACTCCTGCTCCATGACTGTGCCAGAAGAGGTGGTCCCTGTCTTGGGGAGGCCAAGTCCCAGAATGCCTTGAAAATCGCCGGAGATCTCAAGTTGAGCCTTGTTGACGATTAGCAGTAACCCATTTGACATGTTTGCTCTGATGCCCCCAACGTCAACAATATCCGTGGCAATTGCTGTTTCGACCGTGCCACTGCCAAAGGTAATGAACTCCACCACAGGATCCTCTGCAACATGGAATGTTGTCGACTTGTTAGTTCCTGTAAAACACTTTGCATCTGCATCGCAACCTGTCCCAATAAGATCATCGCAAACACAAGAGGTTATGATCACATTGTCACTGCCGGTGTCAGCAACTGCATCGAAGCATTGTGGTGGAGTTCCCACACAAACACTCACGGTGAAGTATACACCTGTCCAGTGCAACAAGGGAGGTTGGGCTCGCCAGGACTCAGTCTGGTATAGTCTGGTGTAGTTCAAAAAAACCGTGCCAAAAAAATCAGAAACCATCTCTTTGTTATCATTTTTGTCTCATCTTTGACTCATATATGCACACACGGGTGGGGTTGGCGTTGGGTTGGGGGTGCCAATAACGCTCATGTTCACTTGCACACACATGCGCCGTACCCTGATCATGTTGGGGGTGGGGTTGGGGTGGGGTGCCAATAACGCTCATGTTCACTTGCACACACAGGCGCTGCACACTGATCATGTTGGGGTGGAGTTGGGGTTGGGTTGGGGTGGGGTGCCATAACATTCATGTTCAGTTGCACACACGCTGCACACTGATCATGTTGGGGTGGAGTTGGGGTTGGGGTGGGGTGGGGTGCCAATAACATTCATGTTCAGTTGCACACACAGGCGCTGCACACTGATCATGTTGGGGTGGAGTTGGGGTTGGGGTTGGGGTGGGGTGCCATTAACGTTCATGTTCAGTTGCACACACAGGCGCTGCACACTGATCATGTTGGGGTGGGGTTGGGGTTGGGGTTGGGGTGGGGTGCCAATAACGCTCATGTTCACTTGCACACACAGGCGCTGCACACTGATCATGTTGGGGTGGAGTTGGGGTTGGGGTTGGGGTGGGCTGCCCATAACGTTCATGTTCAGTTGCACACACAGGCGCTGCACACTGGTCATGTTGGGGTGGAGTTGGGGTTGGGGTTGGGGTGGGGTGCCCATAAAGTTCATGCTCACTTGCACACACAGGCGCTGCACACTGGTCATGTTGGGGGGGAGTTGGGGTTGGGTGCCAATAACGTTCATGTTCACTAAAATGCAGCGAACCAATTCTAAATGAAAGAAATAACTAAAAATCTTTAAGTGTCCTGGACAGAGTCTTAAGTCCACTGGGCTGAGTCAGGTGAAGTGACAGAGAATAAGTACAGTAAGAGTAGAGTGAACTTGCGTAGAAGCAAGAATAAAAGCGGAGGTGATCTTGGAATGTGAGCGGAAGCGAGAATATCTGAATACCATGTAGCGGCTCCCGGTAATGCACGGAGATGACTTGGATCAACATGTGCGATGAGTGTGGCACACCCAACAAGATCTGGTACCTTAAAATTTAAAGTAATCCCTGAATCAAACAGCCCTGCACAGTCTGCATTTCAGTTCTATCTCTCTATGATGTTCCTCAACTTTCTACACCTGTCACAAGGATTGATTGGAACAACACCAAATGTGCCTCGGTTTGCAAGCGGCGCACATACTGCAGGTTGCTGCCCATGGATATCTTGCTGCTCACGACCCTGTTGACTTGTGGAGTGAAGTTGTACCATTGATGCCGACACAGAAGGCTTACAGTTGCTGTCCGAAGTCCTCAGATTAATGCATAGTTGAATTCCAATTAACTCTGCACACACACGAAGACTTCTTCTCATATGGGGAAAACAGAAGCAAACAAAAAAAAAAACTTATATATGGACCAAAAAATTATCAAAACATGAGGAGGAGGTAAGAAATGTAAGAAGCCATCCGTTCACAATGGTGGCAAGACCCGCCAGCAGCGCAACGGCGATACTCATCACAAATTATGGAGCCAGGAAAGTACGCTGGCAACAGTTAGAAATGGGTGAAGTCTTGAGCGTTCCCACTTGAAAACGCTTGGGCCGAGATTGCAACAGCCGCCAATGAATTTTCAAACTCACTTCAAAATCGCAAATGCAATTTTGTTTCATTTCAGTACTTCGCATTGGGGCAAGGGCAGAGTAAGGACACACGCGAAAGATCACAAAAAGTTTGACACTCAATTGACAATAGACATTCAAGCTCACATAGTGCAAATGCACAGGAAGGTGTCAACATCCGTTGCATACGGCTGACGGTGTGCAACGCTAAGCAACTTTCACCAAGGTCTCAGCTCACTCTGTGAATCCTCAGCGCCCTCGAAGCCATCCTGCAGGGTAGAAGGCAATAATCGAAGGAAGTTTAGAAGTCAAACTTCCGACAATATGGACAGATGAAAAGCAGAGATGGGCAGAGTCAGAGAAGAGAAGAGAAGAGAAGAGAAGAGAAGAGAAGAAGATCACAAAAGAAGAAGATCCAGGTGCGCGAAAAGGTAGGAAAGTCGCGAAACACTGTGTTTTTCCAATGATTTGTGGCTCCGGAGGGTCCAAAAGTAGGCTCGCTAGAGCGGCGGGTGCGGAGCCAGCTGGCCAAATGAGAGATGAAAAATTGCACGCCGTTGTGGCGAGAAACGCATTTGCAAGTGAAAAAGATAACACCTCACGTTCGGAGCACTTTTGGAAGTTGAGATGTCGAAAAAGTGCACGGCGTTGTGGCGCGACGCACGTTTCGAAGTCAAAATGTACAAAACACACCAGCTCCGGGCCACTTTTGGAAGTTGAGATGTCCGAAAAGTGCACGCCGTTGTAGCGCGAAGCACATTTCGAAGTCAAAATGTACAAAGCACATCAAAGCACACCAGGTTCGGACCACTTTTGGAAGTTGAGATGTCGAAAAAATGCACGCCGTTGTGGTGCGAAGCACATTTCGACGTCAAAATGTACAAAACACACCAGGTTCGGACATGTTCGGACCACTTTTGGGCGTTGTGATGTCGAAAAAAGTGCACGCCGTTGTGAAGCACATTTCGAAGTCAAAATGTTAAAAGCACCACATGTTCGCGCCACTTTTGGACGTTCAGATGTCGTTTCGCGTGGCAGGCACAAGGGATTGTGCACCTTGTCAAAAGTAAGCAAAACGTGGGGGTTTTGTGGCATTTCCAAAAACGATGGCAGCCGCGGGACATTTGAAGAGGATCTGCAAAGATGCATTTTCCGTGGCAGGCGCAGTACAAGAGACATGTTCATCAGAGCTATTAGGAGGTCCGGGCGCTGATTTCCTGAGAGGGGTTGCATTTTGGAGCATCAGATCTTCAGGCTTGCTGAGATGATTTTGCGCGACAGGTGCAGCACTTCGTATGACCTGGCATCTATTTTTCGTAGCAGGCGCAGTACTTTAGACAGATTGAATGGAAAAAATCGCAAAACGCATTGGTACAAGGCCGTCAGCTCTGCACTCAACTTTCCATTTTTGAAGGAAGTTTCGCAGAATTGCTTCGTTTTTGATGTTGTCAACTTCGAAAATTGAAGAAGTCTCGCAGGATTGTTTCGTTTTTGACGTTGTCGAGTTCAAAAATTGAGGAAGTCTCGCAGAATTGCTGCGTTTTTGATGTTGTCAAGTTCAAAAACTGAGGAAGTCTCGCAGAATAGCTTCGTTTTCAAGCTTGCAGTTAGATAGACAGACAGACAGACAGACAAGCAGACAGACAGACAGACAGACAGACAGACAGCCAGACAGACAGACAGACAGGCAGATAGATAGATAGATAGATAGCTAGATAGAGAGATAAAGAGATAGAGAGGTAGAGAGATAGAGAGGTAGAGAGATAGAGATAGAGAGAGAGAGAGATAGAGAGAGATAGAGAGAGATAGAGAGATAGAGAGATAGAGGGGTAGAGAGATAGAGAGCGAGAGAGAGATAGATAGAGAGAGAGAGAGATAGAGAGAGAGAGATAGATAGATAGATAGACAGATAGACAGACAGACAGACAGATAGATAGATTGATTGATAGATAGATAGATAGATACATAGATAAATACATAGATACATAGATACATAGATAGATACATAGATAGATACATAGATAGATACATAGATAGATCGGTAGGTAGGCAGGTAGATAGTCAGAGAAAGAGAGAGAGAAAGAGAGAGAGAGAGAGAAAGAGAGAGAGAGAAAGAAAGAGAGAGAGAGAGAGAGAAAGAGAGAGAGAAAGAGAGAGAGAAAGAGAGAGAGAAAGAGAGAGAGAAAGAGAGAGAGAAAGAGAGAGAGAAAGAGAGAAACATTCATTCGCAGCACAACTTCAAGCCCAACCCACCCTCCAAGGTGAAGACTCCGTCATCTGTTTTCGCTTGGTGTTTGTCAGCAGTTGCTGACAGTCAAATCCATCAACTCGGCCATGTCATGAGCCAAACATGGCCACAGCTTCACCTGTGATGAAGCCTGCCAAAGTTTTGCCCTCTGCACGTCGAATTCTGAAAACTTGTGGGTGGGATCCTGTAAGGGGGGTTGGGAAAAACAAGTTTCAGTTAGGCCTCATTTTGAGCCCAACTTCAGGCATTTCAATTCCCATCCCTCCACCCAATTTCATGCAGCTCATTGGCATGTTTGTCACAACTGGTGTTGTTCTCAAACATTCATTCGCAGCACAACTTCAAGCCCAACCCACCCTCCAAGGTGAAGACTCCGTCATCTGTTTTCGCTTGGTGTTTGTCAGCAGTTGCTGACAGTCAAATCCATCAACTCGGCCATGTCATGAGCCAAACATGGCCACAGCTTCACCTGTGATGAAGCCTGCCAAAGTTTTGCCCTCCCTGACCAAGTCGCGGGATTTCATCACCTCCGAGCATTTTCGACAACGGGTCTGGTTGAACTGTAGTGCCACTGATAAGCGCACCTTTTCAGGGTTCTTGGTGAAGTTCCAGCCGCAAGCCGTATTCCACTTTGCCATCGGTATTTGCCATCCTGCATTGGTGACTCGGTGCCACACGCGTTTTCCCTTTCTACTGTCGCAGGACGACACCCATAGGGCTTGCTTTGCTGTATTTTCACCATTCTGCTGCTTTTCCTCTTCACCTTCAACTTGTTCCGGAAGAGCTCTTCTTCGAAACCCATGGGGTCAGGCACATGGGTGTGGAAGGCTGTCTACAAGGCGTCCAAGGCATAGGTGTTCCTGTGCCATTTCCCATTTGAGTTTCGTTCCTCCCATTGCGATTGGCAGGAACTTCTTGCAAGGCATCATTGGCGTAGGTCAGGACCACAGCCGACTTCCATCGCCCGAGGAATGCCAATTCTTGTAATTGTAAACCTCTTCTGACATGTTCCATGGCCCCACTCCTCCGGGCGGAGTGTCCTGTCACTTGTTTTCTCGTGACTTTTCGCCAAGCCTCGATCATCTTGTTCTTGTTCAACTTGCCCTTGAACTTGTCCGTGAACAAATATCCTTTCTTCTCTTTTCGCTTTGGAAACTCTTCCACCATGCGGAGCCAAACATTCCATGCGCAAAACCTGGAACACACGTTTTCACCGCAGCATTGCAAAGTTCTCTTGATTCCCTTCGCATCCTGATCCATTTTTGAGATCGGGATCATCAAGGAAACGGTCTTTCGTTGCCGATCCATCTGTATGTGCTCCCACTTGCACTCACTGGCCTCAATTTCCCGCAACATCCACAAACATGCCCAGGCATATGAGAGCGCAGGATTGATCCCGTTGTCAGCGTCTGCACCATCGGTTGCCCACTGCTCCTCTTCTATGTCCTCCAATTTTGCCTCTATGGCTCTTTTGACAGGGCCTTTGTTCCTCATCAGCGCTTTCTTGCACATAGCCAGTGTTCTCACCAGCCACGGTGGTAGATCAAAGCCCTGTTCTATATGACATAGTTTGAGCTCGTTCAGGTACTGGTCACCTGACTTCATGTTGGCATCTTTTATGCAGGCCGCCACTCCTTCGACAACCTCCTGTGTCAAAGGAAAGACTTGTTGGGCCGTTCCCGCTACCAGTCTCGCCAGTCTCACCACTTCACTCCTCTTAATGTCTCTCGCCGCTCTGGACGATGGGGCCCAAAAGTTGGACTTCAGCTTGTTCACCGCGTTTCTGATGTTCTTGGTAGACGTTGCCAGTTGATATGCAAGCTTCATGCCAGTGAGCTTGGTTTGTGTCAGCACTTCCACTGGGTCTACCAAGCCCTTGCCTAGGATTTTCTCCAACTCTCTCTCATCCTTGCCATGTCGATTCTTTGCTCCATATCTGACAGTACTGGCAAGGCTCTGACCACCATGTCCTGTGTCAGACGTTCTCTGTTGCCTCCCCTTCTGTAGGAGGAGTAGACTGCTATTGGATCTGGCGTGACTGCTCGGTTGCCCTTCTCCTTGTCCCTCTGGGTTAAAGAATCTGGAGGAGTGCATAAGATAGTTTGCGTTGATGCCTCGACCCCCCGTGACACTGTCTGTGAACCCGCCATTTCCCTGCTCCTTGGTTTCCGCGGGTCTTGTGGGCCCCAGCAGCATTTGCACAGGTTGCGTAGGGCAAGACAGCATGTGATGAGCCCGGAGAGCCATCCAACTACGACTAAAACTTCAGCCCAAGACCAACTGTCAATGTCAGTGGGCTCAGTGAGCTCTCCAGACACTACTATCGCGTCCATCCTGCTGTCTTGAGCTTTCCCACGCAGCTACATCAAATCAAATTAATTCACACAAACCTTCAAATCACAAAACATGCCAATAAACCCCCAAGGAAATGCCTACTCATGTCATGTGGCTGCCAAAGAACTTCCGCATGAGACAATGAACTCAACTTTGAAGTTCCCTCCCCCCAAAGCTGTGAAAGAGGCACCCTCTTCCTTATTGCCAGCTTCGGATGTCTCAAAGTTCTTCAAAAGCCGCAGACACCACTTTGGATGCTTGGCCCCATCTCAGCGCCGCGTCCACCCCGGGGGGTTTCAAGGCCGACGTCATGATTCTTTCCTTTGGAAACTGACGCATGGGCACCCCCACCAATCTTTTTGGCATCTCGCCCCGCTGGTGTGGGCGGCTAAGCCAATCAGCTTCCACATTCCAAGATCCAGGAATGTGTTGGGTGATGAATTTGCCCAGGTTGAGCTCCTCCGTCTTCAGCGCCAATTCAGCACCGATCCAATTCAACACCGGAGATGGTGCAGAGGCCTTGGAGACTGTCGCCAACGCCACCACGCTGTCGGCCCGAATCAGCAAGGAATGTCCCTTGATTCGGTGCTTCCATTTCTTGATGGCCATCAATATCGCCCAAGCTTCCAATGGCCCTTGCCCCGCCGGGTCGTCCCATGGTATGCTCATCCATTTGGCATATTCCTCCGTGAAGGGTATCTCCAGCGCCTCGAGCGGAATGATCGCTCGACTTTTCCTGTCGATGTCCGCCAAAATGGCGCCCACTCCTCTGGGGGAAGCGTCTGTGATCAACGCAAACTGAGCTGGTACTTCACGAAGTCCCTCTCGCCTCAGCGCAAACCTGTCTGGCTTCTCAAACATTGCAATGAACCACTGTCGCGGCAATTCAATCCTGTGCACCGCCACCATGAAGGGTTTTGGCCTTGTGTCGTCCCTCCTGGTTGCTCTGTCTTGCTCCTTTTCCGCATCTGCCAGCGTCTGTGCGATGACTGCGTACAAGATGTTGACGCACCATCTAGCCCTCACGATGATGCCACAGATCCATGACAATTTTCCCGTCACAGCCCTGACCTCCCTGAGGGCTACCATGCCCTTGTTCTGCCAGCTCTCCAGTGTTGTTTTGACCTCGTTCATCATCTTGGGCGGGATAGAAAGGATGACCACGTCCTCTGCCAGCTTCAACTCCATGCGCACTCCAATCCACACTGCATCCGTTCCTCTGAAGCCTTTTCGAAACTGAAGCTTCACTCCCAAGGCCCCGCACATGTAGAGGATGAGCGCAAGGTTTTCTCTCCTCCTCCAACGTGGACCCTGCAACATCCATAACGGATCGTCCATGTACAGCTGTGACTGCATCTCATCGGCCGGCACCAAGGACTGTAGCAGTCTCGCCAATGTCGCAGCAAACCTTCCCATGATGAGTGGGGCTCCCTTGAAGCCAAACAGCATTGCCACGAACACAAGATACTTGCCAGGGTTGACTGACGCCGCCACGCAGTTGCCCAGCTCGTTCTCATGGACCGCCAAGTGACAGTATGCGTCTGACAAGTCTGCTGACACCAGTTCCACTTCGTCGCATTGGTCTTGATCGTCCCAGTCCTCCTTCTGTGCCCTCAAGATCAACCCAAAACGGTTTTCTCTCAGGTACCTCAGGCTGTCCAGCACGTCTTGTATTCTCGGCAACACGATGCGTTCCCGTATGCGACATCTGCTGTTGCCCCCACTGCGCAACAAGTCAATTATGACACGCCTCTTAATCGTGCCATCCTCCTTGGTTTTGATGATGAGTGCTAGCTTGCTCACCGTGCCAACCGGAAATTGCTGCCGTACCTCTTCCTCCGACAGCTCAATGCAAAAGCCCTTCTGCAAATACCTTTGTACTTCAGCATAAGCATGTTCCGGCTCCTCAACAAAGCTCTTGTAGTTCTCTGCCCCCAGCTGAGCTTCCATTTCGGGCATGCTTTCAAACTCCCCTTCATTGCCCTCCGTCATCGGGAAGATGTTGCAGTAGGGGATGTTTTCTGCCATGCCCAACGGAGCCCCCGATCTGATCCATGACACTAGATCCATCTCCGGGTCACCTGAATGCTTTCGCCAAGCTTCTAGGAGCTTTGCATTCAATGGAGATGTGAATCTCTCCGGGGGTCTCAAAACCACTTCATCAAATTCCTTGACCTTCAAGAAGTGCTCGATGCAATCCGTCCACGCCTTGAGAACGTTCTCCTTCAACTGGCAGTTCTCACTTCCGTACTCCTCTGCCGTCTCGACTGCTTGAGGATATTCTCTCAGAAATCTTGTCCACAATCTCCTGATGTCTTTCCCTGTCTCTGCCAGCTTGCTAAGTCTACTCACCGCCTTTGCCGGGTTCCGCATGCCCCACACGTAGTGCTCGTTCTCTCCTTCCCGTCTCTTCTTCTTTGACGGTCCATCAGAAGGCCCTTCACTAGCATCCACGTTGTCTGCCATCCAAACTCTTCGAGAGGCGGACAAATCCTGGGTTGTCACCGGGGGCAACTGTCGTTTGGCCTTGCTGGCCAACCACCTCAGCTGTGCATCTGACACTTCTTCCTTTTTCTTTCTCAAGACTGATCTCCACCATTCCATTTGGATCGTGTTCTTGAACGTCTTGACAACCAAAGCTGCATATGCTTTGCACAATTCCTCTGGGTACTCCGCCGCCCTCGACGTCATGTTCTTGCCTATCAAAGCTTGATGTCGGCTCCATCCAGGGCACGTGCACTTCTTTGACAACCTGTCCAAATCGGCCAAGCAGCCCGTGAAGCGTCCTGGCTTAAACCACTTGTACCTCAACTTGGTCTGGTAAGCGCACGTGTTAAACAAGGCTGTTGTCGTTCCCAAGTCTCTTTCAAACGACATCAATTCGGGGAGAGCCCATGCCGGTCCCTCTTCACCTGTCTCACTTCCAGGCGGGTTCTCCAACGTTCCCACTGACGGCACCGCTCTGCGTCTTTGACTCTGAATGACCTCGTTGATGATCATGGCCGACCTGACAGCCATCACTGTTCCTCTGTCAGCTTCTTGTTGTTGTGCTCGGCTGTTTGTTGCCAAGCCATAAATTTCGGCTCCAGACCGCACAGGCTTGGGTCCTTCGCCTTCCAGGTTGTATCTTGCCCTTGAAAAGCTCCCACAGGGAAATCCAGCATGACCACCATCGTAGTCGCCCTCTTTGGCCTTCTTCAGGATGTCCGTGAAAGGCCGCTCTGCTAAAAGATCGTGGCTTGCATCAATGAGTTTATCATAGGATTCCACCACGACCTTCAACCCTTCCTTTTCGCATTCGTCCCTCAAGGCTTCAGCCAAAACGTCACGAGGCCCCGCAAACAAATGAAGGAACTTGAAATGTCTTTCTTCTTTGAACTCTGCATATGACTGACATTTCTCAAGGCACAGTTCCACCCGCTTGGACACCTCCGCGTTCACTCCATGACTAGAGTCAGCGATCTTGGTCGAACTCGACGCCGTACTCATTCTGAAAAGGGGGCTGCGATACACATGAACGTTCATCTCAAGACTGCCATGATCAACTCTCGAACCATGTCCAAACGAATTCAACCAATTCGATACTTGATCTATTGAAACCTACTTCAACGTGTCATGAACTCTTCCGCACTCGTGCAACACGAAAAACACAAAACAGGGCTCCCTTCATCCATCACCAGTGCAACGGAGAAGCCCAAGTTTTTCAACACAAGCACAGTTCATTTCTTGGGACACTGTTCATTGGTGTGTCCTGGTGAAAGACACAATTGGCACTTGTGTGCCCGTTTCACTTTCGACCTGCACTCTGCGCCGGGAGCTAGCCCAGCACAAGGCCCATTGTTCTTGGCCCAAGAAAAACAAATCTCCTCTCCAGTCTGGTCCTTGCCCTGCATCTTGTTCTTGCCTTTGCCGCCTGCTCCAGAACCTTTTCCCGAAGCCGGCGTGCTTCTCCACTTTGCTAGTTCTTCACGTTCAGCTTGGGCACGTCTCTTCTTTGCTGCTCTTTTGTCTCTGTTAGCTTGTCTGCGTCTCTCATCTTTCTCACCGCTGCCGCCCTCCGTCTCATGCCCTTCAGAAAGTCCTGGAAAGTGGGCCAGAGCTAAGGCTTCTGACGATGCCATGGGAGCGCCTCTCGACCCCGATGCCAACCATGCTGTAGCTGGATGTCTCACCTGGTCATTCCAATAGGTCTCGTCTTGCGACACCAACCTGAAAACCACCGACCATGGCTTTTCCTCAGTGAAGTCCGTTGGAACGTTCTTGCCGTTCTTGGAGTCCACGACCAACTGCCTCCGTACTCTTTCAAGACGTTCGGCACGCGCTTTATCATCAGCATGAGCTATGAGCCCCCAATTCTTAGGCCACTGTATGGTCATCTTTTCGATTGCCTTCTCGTACAACAGCAGCGATGCTATCGAGCAGATGTCCAAGGAGATTGCGGCCACCTTGAAGACTTTCCAGCTCGCCTGCCATTGCATGAAATTCTGAGGGCCAGCAATTCCCTCGCCACAAACGTGCCATCCCCCACCGGAAAGAAAGCCCTCATCTTTTGATTCCGAAGAGCTCTCCGACCGAAGGGTAGCCAGACGCCCATGTCCACGTATGGTGCTTGGCCCAACTGGTTCACCCTCTTGTCCAGCGCCGCCATTTGAGCGTCCGTCGGTTCTTCTTCCTCCATTGGCAAGTCTCCCATGACTTGAAGGTACCTTTGTGACCAGGAATGCACTGTCTGCAAGTCTGGTGGCATCAACTCACTCTCATCTGTCTGGTCCACCAGACTCGACATCTTGAGGACCTTTTCTTTCAAACCATTTCCTTTCCCACCATGCCCATGAGCTTGTGCAGGGAGCTTAGGCGTCTCCTTCGGCACCCAGGGGTCCACGTCCTCAAAGTTCGTGATGTCACCACCCTTTCTAAGGTAAACTGCCATCCTAGCAACCCGCCAAACTAGCCCCACATGTGCAGCTTCGGTGGCTGATAGTCCAACTCCTGCAGCCTGTGCCTGTCCAATTGCCTGCACCACTATGTGAGCTGGCAAGGCTGCCAAAACTCGAAGTTCCTGTCCAGGATTCCCAACTTGTTCTAAAAAGGCTTCCCATATGGTAGCCGGCACCCGTAGCAACCGCACTGCTTCTGCTACATTCGATACCGCTCTCACCTCGTCTTCGCCGGGTAGAACGTCCATCGACTGCACGCGGGTTGCCATGGGCCCAAACATCACACGAAAAAAACAAGTTTCAGTTAGGCCTCATTTTGAGCCCAACTTCAGGCATTTCAATTCCCATCCCTCCACCCAATTTCATGCAGCTCATTGGCATGTTTGTCACAACTGGTGTTGTTCTCAGAAAGGGAGAAAAAGAGAGGAGAACTCAAGCACCTTTCGGTCCATCAGTGGCTTTGCTCTGCCATCCGTGATTCACAACAACCAACCTCTCCTATAGGTTTCCTATTTTTGAAACTTCCGCCACCGCCTTGTGCGGTACTACTGGTATATAAATATATACAGTGTACACACACACATATACCACACACACATATTTATATATATATACATACTATATATATATGGTGTGTATATGTGTAAATAGATACATATACAGTATATATATATATACACATGTGTGTGTGTGTTTGGGGCATTGTCATGATTGATTTTGTTGCTGATCACGCTCCATCTAGAAGGACAACACGCTTTGTCCCAGCGGGTACGAAGAGCATGAGAAACTAGAGCTCAAGTGGTGAAGTCGAATCCTCCTTCAATATTCTGAGATTCTGAGGTTGCCTATTTATGGATTCAATGTCAGGCCTGCCATCTACAGTCAAAGATTTATGGCACCATGTGACATCCCTCCAGCGTGCGTCCAACACAGTACAGCTTGCACTTTGCATGCCAAGAGGCAATTGGGATTTGGCAGTGCCAGCATTGAAGCAGGGACGGAAGTTTTCTTCGAATCTTTCGTGCAAGAAGAAATAATATCAAGCAATCAAGAGAATCAGTCTTGTGCGAGCAGTTTTGATCACAATGCGGCACACTTGAACAATAAAACTTTGCTGGCGTCCTCTGACCAAATATAGCCCCAAGATTTTCCAACAAAGTGGATTCAGAGCCAACTTGTCAATTTCTTCATGCTCGTGATCCAATCTTTGCTGTGCGTTCTGATATAGTCCAGTCATTTGCGTTTGCGATCCACCTAAATTGAACCAAATGCTGTAGGCAGTCAGCTAGCAGCTAGCTCGATTTTCAGCACTCGTACAACGTCACACAGCACCTGTATAAAGCAAAAGGCGTCTCATATGTAACTTCAAGTTGCAGTACCATACCTAACTTCTTTACTTCTGCAACTCTATATGAAGGTTGAAGGGAAACACATGGAAAAGCGCCCCCGCAACTTAGCACCACAATACGAATGATCACGAGGCTACCTCCAAGATGGCTGAGGTCTCCACAGTTGACAGATTTGTCACTGGCAGAGCGGACCTAGGTGCCACAGTGGACCTCGAACCACAAGAAAACATAGGACACCACGGACACCGCGGACATCACGGACACCAACATCACCCTGAAGTGGATTGGGGTGGCCCATTCAAATCTGCTGTATGTAAGCCACGTTGCTGTCTGATTGCCAATGTACTCAGCCCCATCCAGCCAATTCGGAGGTAGAAGGCCCACACCCATCTCAATCACCTCACATTGGATTTGCCTTTTGACTTCAAGAAGCTTCTATGCGGACAAAACGTGTTCTTTCGTCGCATCTCTTTCGCACTGCTTGTGCGTCTCACAACGTGCACAAAAGCCGTTGTTCTTGCCTTGCAGCTGCCTCCGGGAGTATAGTAGTACCTAGGTACCCGTTAGAGAAAAAAAACACCACCACAATATGTCAATTCTATGCTAGTCAGAAACCTTCTCGCCCCTTGTCTGGGGCGTGCACGTGCTGCCGTTTTGGCGCTCATTGTCAAAGAATGGTGGTTGACCAGGGATCCTGTGAGCCATCAGGAACATCTCATACTTGCGGAAATATGCTGTCAATAAGCAAGAAGCAAATTGGCATGAACATTCAAAAAATATCAAAAAAGACCTGTAGCTGCCTGCGCCAATAACAACAAAGAATTGGCAAGTGCTAGACTGGAGAAGCATGCGGAAACATATGCGTGTACACAAACACTTCTGTAGCCTATATACAAATACGCATTCCTCTGATGCACCAATTTATATACATATTTGTATGTAAATCATTTCTTCCCTCACCATGCACCTTCTGCTTTTTGTGCAGCAAGGTACACGTGCAAATTTCTCTGTGAAGCGACTAATCGCAATGTTTTCCTTCGAGTGATTGCCTATCTTTTTGGGGTAGTCGTGCACGTTTTCCGCCCATTTCCACTGGGTCAGCGCCCTTGGCCACTGGGTCAGCGCCCTTGGGTTGAAACTAGAGAAACAAAACGTATTGAAAAAAGGCGGCGGCCACCGTGTGCTGCATTCAATCAAACACAATCCATTATTTTATTATAGTGATTTGAGAAACAATTTTGCAGACTCTTGCGTTTGTGTAGTTTCTATCATTTTCTATCCAACATTATCCAACAATATCTCATCTGAACATTGCATCAAAAACTTGCCGTGTGGGACTCTGCATCAAACGGCTCAACCCAAGAAGTTGATGTAAACTAGATATCGATCAATACTTTTCTATTCGGACCCAGCTTGCACCCTTCGAATTGCATACCGTGTCTTTGGTCTGAATGTTACGGCGTGTCCAAATCTGACGGGTTAGTATGGCAAAAATAAGACAGTTTGGTTGCTTTTTTTGATTGTCACTGATCAATGCGGCCGAGATTTGCTTCTCCAAGGAGGTATGGACAGAATACTTTGCTTGATTCACCTGGAATCTTATTGCGCATCGACAGACTTTACAATTCGACTGAAGGTAAGACCCTCAGCTATCGCGTTGGACCCGGATCCAAAAGCTGCTCCAGAACAGAGGAGGAAACATGTGAATAATCAGTTTCAACAAAATGCCGGGGTCTTGCACAAACTTGTTGATGAACCCAACAGTGAGGCCTTCCTCCTTTTCTTTATAAATTGAATGATGTATCATGTATCTTAAACATTCTTAAACCATGTTAAAGCCGATTGTCTAAAGACATACCAGGGTGATCAAACAGCCCGGCCCTGTTTGTAGTCATGGAATTGTCGAAGGAAGTTTAGAAGTCAAACTTCCGACAATATGGACAGAAGAAAAGCAGAGCAGGGCAGAGGCAGAGAGAAGAGAAAGATCAGAAGAGAGAAGAGTAGAAGAGAAAGAGTAAGAAGAAAGAAGATGGAGATGCGCGAAAAGGTAGGAAAGTCGCGAAACAGTGTGTTTTTCCAATGATTTGTGGCTCCGGAGGGTCGGAAAGTAGGCTCGCTAAAGCGGCGGGTGCGGAGCCAGCTGGCCAGAGGAGAGATGAAAAATTGCACGCCGTTGTGGCGCGAAGCACATTTCCAAGTCAAAATGAACAAAGCACACCACGTTCGGAGCACTCTTGGAAGTTGAGATGTCGAAAAAGTGCACGGCGTTGTGGCGCGACGCGCATTTCGAAGTCAAAATGCACAAAACACACCAAGTGCGGACCACTTTTGGCACTTGAGATGTCGAAAAAGTGCACGCCGTTGTGGCGCGAAGCACATTTCCAAGTCAAAATGCACAAAACACACCAGGTGCGGACCACTTTTGGCACTTGAGATGTCGAAAAGGTGCACGCCGTTGTGGCGCGAAGCACATTTCGAAGTGAAAATGTACAAAACACACCAAGTGCGGACCACTTTTGGCCCTTGAGATGTCGAAAAGGTGCACGCCGTTGTGGCGCGAAGCACATTTCCAAGTCAAAATGTACAAAACACTAGGGGTTCGGACTACTTTTGGAGGTTCAGGTGTCGTTTCGCGTGGCAGGCGCAAGGGATTGTGCACCGTGTCAAAAGTGAGCAAACCGTGAGGGTTTTGTAGCATTTCCAAAAACGATGGCAGGCGTGGGACATTTGAAGAGGATCTGCAAAGATGCATTGCGCCTGGCAGGCGCAGTACAAGAGACATGTTCATCAGAGATGTTAGGAGGTCAGGGCGCTGATTTCCTGAGAGGGGTTGCATCTTGGAGCATCAGATATGTCGATTTCCTAAGATGATTTTGCGTGACAGGTGCAGCACTTCGTATGACCTGCATCTATTTTTCGTGGCAGGCGCAATACTTTCGACAGGTGGAGTGGAAAAATCGCACAACGCATTTGGTACGAGGCCGTCAGCGCTGCACTCAACTTTCCATTTTTGAAGGAAGTCTCGCAGAATTGCTTCGTTTCGGACGTTGCTATGTTCAAACATTAAGGAAGTCTCGCAGAATTTCTTCGTTTTTAATCTTGCGCATAGATAGACAGATAGATAGATACAGACAGACAGACAGAGAGATAGCAAGATAGATAGATAGATAGATAGATAGATCGATCGATCGATCGATCGATCGATAGATAGATAGGGATAGATAGATAGATAGGGATAGATAGATAGATGGATAGACAAATAGCTAGAAAACTAGACAGCTAGATTATAGATAGGCAGGTAGATAGATAGATGGGGAGATAGACAGACAGACAGACAGACAGACAGACAGACAGACAGACAGATAGATAGATAGATAGATAAACAGATTGATCAGTAGGTAGGTAGGTAGATAATCAGAGAAAGATAGAGAACAGAGGGAAAAAGAGAGAAAGAGAGAGAGAGAGAGAGATCAAGCACCTTTCAGTCCATCAGTGGCTTCGCTCTGCCATCCCTGATTCACAACAACCAACCTCTCCTATAGGTTTCCTATTTTTGAAACTCCCGCCACCGCCTTGTGCGGTACTACTGGTAAATTTATAAACGATTTAATTTTGATAATTTCTGACAACTTGAGAAGCCTTCTCGGAACATTGTGAACAAATTATGGGCCCACGGTAAGGTACAGTACCACAGTACCACATGAAGTGCAAAGTTGTTATTGTGCCTTGTCGGTCCTTTTTTGCACCTTTTAAAGGCGTTGCATTTGAGGGGTCCCTACACCAAGCCCAATTTCAGGTCGATTTGGGTTGTCGGGTGTTGCGCCAGTCGTGCCACTTCTGGAGGATGCAAAGCCCTTCTCAGGCCTTAGGCCCAGGGGGGCCTTTAAGACGCAAACCTAATGTCTGGGCCCGCTTTTGTCCGCTTGAATGCGTTTCCTCACATCAAGAAAAAGACTGCCAAAGCCAAAGGGTGTGAAATATGTGCAAAGTATGCGCAGCATCTGGGTCTGTAGGCCACAAGAAGAAACAAGAAACACATCGGCAAAGCTAAGCTGCCAAACATAGGCTCAACAAAACAAAGGCATTGCCCCTGCCCATGAGAATGCTCGCAATTCCTTCCAATCTACTGGTGAACACAAGAAAACACCTTGGCACCTTCAGCGCGGTCGGACTTTGTATCTGCAGAATCTGGGCACTAAGATCACTAAGCTTGACTCGGCTTACCTGCTTCTCCATCTCCAGAAAATAATGATCTGTATGCACACTGTAATGTAACGATCTGTATTCATGTGCGGATCCATAGGATCCTTGCGGATGTGTCGATCGATGCCGATCCATGCGGCTTTGTATATGATTACATTCGTGCATTGATTTCGTGTTTTCGCACAGCCCAGAAATCAAGCTGTGCATTTGTGGGGGAGACAGGGCTCGTAATCTCAGTTGTTTTTTCCTGAAAAAGTGAATATGCAAACTGCAAATGCATATCCACTCTTGTGTATACATATGCATTACATTTCAATTGAATCAGATTGACATATTTGCATGCATGCATAGGTATTTTTGTCATACACGAGTAGGGTAAAACGCAAAAATGGCGTAAGGAAGCTGGACATTCCGTGAGGGTTCCACCCTTTGCAAGTCCGGCAGTTGATATCCATGGACGCTTTCAGATCACATTTTCAGGAATGTAAGGTCAAGTTTTTTTTAGCATAGGATGTGCGAGGCATATACAGTGTGTAATGTAATGTACTGTACGGTACTGTACTGCACTGGACTGCAAAGTATAATGTAATGTAATGTAATGTAATGTAGTGTAGCAGTGTAGGTGCGTACATACGTGGGTACGTACGTACTGTACGTAGGTAGGTAGGGAGGGAGGGATGGATGGATGCATGTAATGTATACTTGTGTGTGTGTGTGTTTCTTGGACTCCGGTGATAGCCACCGGATCTCTAAACACCTAGAGATACCTAGAGTATCATGTGCTGAATAAACTCAGACTTGCACTGGCCAAAACTGGCCTATCAATATGAAGATTGCCGCCCGCTGGCCAGTCATAGAACAAGTCGGTGTGGCCTTCAGAGATGATCAGGCATAGCCCATAAGAAGTCCAGTCCCTGCCGAGGTCCTTGCCTTGTGCAGATTTCACCTCTGGTTAATATTGTGGACGGGGGATGGGCGAAAACTTAGGATTGCGCCCACTTCACCATTTCGATGCTTCAGCATGTAGGCGTGAAACCTTTTGGAATCCGAAAATGCATCACACATCATCTCACCATATCTCGCAAAAAAATTGCTGAGAAGAGAGATTGTTCGAAATGAGAATGTAAGATAATGTAAGGGCGTGCTAAGAACTCACATACCGTCTACCTGGAAGTGTGGTTCAAGAGCCATTCCGACTCACTCTAAGTCTCTAGGTCGTCTGGGTCTCCCTGCACTTCTGGCCATGGAGTCGGTTGTGGCACTGCTATGGCCACTGTCAAAGTTGCGATCTCAGTTTCAAGTAATCGTATATGCATGATTATGCATGTATATGCCGCATATGCCACTCGAGGGTGAAGTAAATCTCAGGTCTCAGGTTGAGACAGAGGTGAGGACTCTTGCGCACAACATTACCTGGGATTGTGTGAGAATTCTTGCAAAGCTCAACCCGCACACTTTGAAGCCGTGCCCTCTCAACATCTTGGGCAGCTGCTATTCGTGTGCCCTTTGGCTCTGGGCACTACCACCGGACCAAACTCTTTCAGCTATGAACCTTGTTCACTCCTGTTTGCGTCGAGAGCTTGAGACGCGGCTTGAAAGACGGGGCATGAGGTCTGACATGTGCGACAAACTTTCACAGTGTGAGCAATGTGACGAAGTTGCGTGCCTACTTTTTGCCAGCACTTCGCCGACGAAGCCAGCGAACAAACTCGAGTTTCTGTGCTGCAAGCTAAGAGCAATCTCTGACGCAGCAGGGAATGCCAGCTTTGAAATGAACTGAAAATGGCATCACATGAGGCTCTGGCTGATCTGCACAGGATACAGCGGTCAACAGCATCTGAGGTCATGATTTTACTGACGTCATCGAACTGTTAGTTATCCTTTCAGTTTCGTAATATTCTATAAAATGTCAGCTCAAGAGCCAATTGACGACCCTACGTGAAAAAAATTCTAGAGAATTCTGGAGATCAAAGCATGTCTTTGAGACATCCTCTTCTCAAGCTGCACATAATGTATGCGCGCTAATTCTCCTAAGAGTGGCAGTTTCGTGCGGCCGCCTACCTAGGTGCTATGTGAGATGCGGTTCATGGAATTCGCATGGAATTCACTGCAATATATCGCCATGTGTTGCAACCATCAAATTCATCAAAATGATAATTCCGTCGGACAATAACCAAAGTGATCAAAGTCCAAGCAGCACATGCCGGCTCCAATCAACGCCGAATCTGCCGTCGACTATTTCCAAAAGGAATTCATCCTGGGCATTGTTTCCCTCACGAATTTCATGAAAAAATCAGGCGATGGTGCAATGTTTGCTGCTATCCTTCCATGTCCTTCCACCCTCAAACACTTCGCAGTGGCCCCAGAATGTTCTCCGTTCTCCTGTTTTTCCATTGGCACCTTGACCGCCCCGAGAAGTCCACGGGCGTAGCTCAGGATGTCATTGGTTTCATCCTGGTAACATTTCGAAGAGATGAGTGGTCCCCACATCCGAACAAGTGTGGAATCAAAGTCCCACGGAGCACCGTGCGGCTGAAGTTTTGGATTTGTCATGATTTGTCGCTGTCAATCCGACTTTGCCAAAACAATTCTGCAGAAACTTGCTTGCACACAGGAGAAGAGGGGAGGGTGATACACCCCTACTTCTCTCTTGTTTGTCTTTGCCCAGCACCTAAAGTACTGCAGCAACTCGCAAGCGCATTCATAAATACTACGCTCAGACACCCAGTTTGATTTTACCAGATTTGAACCGATGAATGTTCTTTTGCCATAGACATGTGCTCGGTAGCCTTTCCCAACAGCGTCAGGATGGAAAATGGCATTGCTGCGACACAGATATGATGGAACCCTGGATGCCACTAAAACAAAATACCAGCAGTGCCCGCACGAGGCGGGGTGGAAGTTGCCTTAGGGTTGTGCTATTAAACCGTTACCTTTTTATACTTGTTTCATCATGTTTCAATCTTTTTCATCTATAAAACTTGCATGCGCCGTGTCCCACCCAGGCCCGTGCCTGCGTGTTTTCTGCGAACCTGTCGCGCTGTTGTTGTCCAAGAACATGACGTGCGCACGACTGCGTTGCAATGCAACGCCAAGCGACACTTTGTGCTCCAAAGATCATACCCCTCACCCTTCACACTGCACTCTTCACACTCCGCACTTCACACTTCGCATTTCACACTCTACACTTGGTCTCATCTCATCTCTTCTCACGCAATCTCACCTCGTTTCACCTCATCTCATCTCCTTTCTTCTCAGATGTCATCTAAGTTCTTCTCAACTTTCATCTCATCCGAGCACACCTCAACTTCTTGACGCCAAATGGAACTTGCAGCACATCACACGCTGGCGCGAGAAACAATATTTTACCAATGATCTTTCATGACGACAGTACAACCATTTCATATGACAACCAAATACAATCAACACGTTAATGAAGTGTCGCCCTTCCATTATGAAGCTTTTACACACAGCAACCTTGCACACGAAGCAAATTTTTACACACAGCAAATGTGTACACGAAGCAAACTTTTACACACAGCAAACTTTTACACACAGAAGCTTTTGCACAGAAACGTTTTTACAAAAAAAAAACGTTTACACAAACCTTTTTCCACACAGTAAGCTTTGGGAAGTTTCTACACACAGAGAAGCTTTTACACAAAGAAACTTTTACACACAGAGAAGCTTTTACGCACAGAAAGTTTTTACACCTTTACACAGAGAAGTTTTCTTGAACATACTGACAAACGGAAATTGCAGCTCCAAAACTGGATCTTGGCGCCGAAGCGGAAAAAAAAGGATCTTGAAGCACTTTTTGAAAAGAATTTAAATGGCAAATTACCAGCACCAAAATCGAGAAAATCTGCTGACAAATCACTATCGCAACCTTGATGCAGCCAATCCAATACAATTTACGATGCCCAGCTGCAAAACACCGTCATATTACGCGCGCCAAACAATTGGCCGTGGAATGCATTTTGTAGACCCGGACCTGCTGGAAGTTTGGCATGTCAGTTCGAGCAAACTGGATTCCAGGGTTCATCTGTATTAACACGACCTCATGCATTAATTCCAGTCTACATGAATGCAATCCTTGCATTTGTTGGTGTCACTGTGACACTACATTGCACTACGCTGCACTACGTGAGGAGGCATTTTACTCGTTTTTGGCGTTGGACACCTGTACAGACTTGGATGGTGTGATGACCTGGCTGCCGCAGTAACCAATGGTCGCGGTGCACAAGCGCAACTCGTTTCCAATGGTTCTGTAGATGGCAGATCTAAACATCTCACCCTTGCATCCAGACAGACAAGACTGACCGGCTGTACATGAGGCAACCTATGGGAAGATTATGGACTACGTTAATACCTGAACATTTAGTTGGTGCAAAGCTTCCGTCCATTTTGCCACAGGGAGTGGCTTGGTAAAAGGATCAGCTCTCTGCATTGCAGTTTTGATGTAGAGCAACAGGCAATCATCATTCTCCTTGAAGACTTCATGGATTGAACCTATATTTATGCGGAAAATCTTATTGAGGTGCCGGAGTTTGGGACTATACGCCGCAGCAACAATTTGGACAACCGCGGATTATCTTGGTAACACACAAGTTCAACCTGCCGACAAAAAACTGTCTCTAAGAGCTCTTGCATTGGCAGTGCTTCAAGAAATAGACCTGCACCCAACGACACCATTTCGGCTTCTCTCAAGCTGCGTGCAGTTGATTTCTGCTTGCGGCTTGCCCATGAGAGTGGCCACCATGAATGTGGACCTTCCAACGTCATGATCATACCGCTTGTGGATTTGGCATATGGAAAAACAAGGGTAATTGAGCCGAGGTTGCCATTCCTGTATGAGAGCAAGTTCATGGCAACGATAATCAGCTCGTTCGACAAAAGGGGAATTGGTGCCCATGCATACAGGTTGTTGTGCCCCTTCCATAAACGAAGGGCCAGTTCGGCCTGGGCAAGCTTGTCATGGGTGAGTTGGAGAAATTTTCTGGAGCGACTGTACTCGCAGTCCAAGAGTATGGTGCGTTGCAGACCCAATGTAAAATTTGGGTTGCATGTTCACCGTGCGCGTGAAGCGAATGTAGACGCACTGGGGAAGGAAAGACGCTTGGGCAAAAAGATTGTGGGCAATCAGCGACGAGCCCCACAGGTGATTGAGAATCATTCGGGTTTGGATGATGCGAAAGCCTTGAAAAAGAGAAAGTGTGGTAGCCATGGTGAAGGGTGTGATGATATAGATGATAAGAATCATCGAATGGAGAGCTTGCAAATGGGATTGAAGCACCTTGTGCTTGAGTTTTTCACGTAGTAGTGGAGCTAGTCAATTGGTCATACTGATGGCAGCAGTGAGGACCTTGATGAGATTGGACGCGCCGAAGTTCTTATTCAACATAGTGACAGGAATGCCCATCATCACTGCGACTCCCTGGGCTGTTTCGGGAGCTTCAGCGGGTTGTCGACCCCACCATGTTTTGGTCTTGGCGATGTTCGTCGTGAGCACCGTGCGTTGGACATCTGAAATTGGGAGGTCTTTCAGCCATTTGGTGAAAGGACGAGCAGCCAGACCCAAGAGTTGGATGCGGTTGGGACAGTGAGGAGGCAAGATGGATCAAAAGTGGGTGGAGCTGGAGCGGTGGAGTTGTTCATAAGTGCACGTTGGATGGGTGTGGATTGGGAAGTTGAACTTGGTTGACCAGGTCGAGGGGGTGTTGAGGCATCCGTACTGTCATCCCCCCAAGCATTGACGAAGTTCAGCCAAGTGATTGCGGAGATTGGTGATCTCATGTTGGGAATCCGGGTCCGTGGCCCTGGTTGGCAGCCAACCTTGGATATGTTCCGCAATATTGCATGCTTGGTGTTGGAAGTCTTGTCCAACATCTTCCCATCCTGTCGAGCTCGGGTTTGTGATACCCGGTCCAAGTCGATGCCACGGTTTCTCAGCTGTGTGAGAAGTTCTGTCGCAAACACCACCACAGCAATGTCCCCTGTTGGGATCAGATAAAGTTCACGACCATGAGCCAACTTGCGAAGCCAATGGTTGTTGGCCTGCTGTTAGAGCAGAGCCGCACCTGGTAAGGATAGAGGATCACATCCTTCAATGTCCAACTTCTGAGTGAAGGCCGATTGACGAATGGCCCTCGGGAGTGTGAGGCCATTGATCTTCTGGTTGTCATTGTGATCTCGATCCGGTTGCCAATGTTCGTTCAAATTGAAGCCATAAACTCTGGTGGCCTCATTCTTGTCCGATTTGGACGCCAGGCGAGACTGTGGAGTGCTGGTTGAGCGTGGTTGGGATGGAGAGATGGAAGGTGGTGGAGTTGGCGAGCACGGTTGTGTGAGAGGACACTGTTGTGCTGGGGAGTATGGAATGGTAGGTGAAGGACCCAAATTGGGCGGAGTTGGTGGAAATTGCTGTTGTGACGCAGCCCAGCTATTTGGAAGGGCAGGTGGTGTTACCGACCACATGCGTCCCATCATGTAAGGTCCCGACGGAGTTGCTGGCCATTTTGGTTGGTTCTGCGGCCTGGGCATGTTATTAAGTTCCGGACAGCTGCGCCCGCAGGACCACACCATCGAGGGAAGAATGGCAAGGGCTAACGTTGCCCATGAGGTTCAAGTCGATTCCGCGCAGGCACAGGTGAGTGCGATCGGTCAGAGTCAGCCATGTTAAGAGCAGTACTGAATGGGATTGAGTCCGGCGCAATGTGAAGAAAACTTTACGGAATCACAAATCGAAAAGCAAGGAGTCATGCCAACTTCACTAAAGTGCAACAAAAGGAACTCCAAAGGTAGTCACGTCTGATTCATGAGAGGGAAAATTGACAAAAGCACAAAAGAACATAAACAGATTGAGGCAACCGAGCAGCATTAACTTCTTTCTTTGAGGAGATGTCCAGGTTTCCCCTAGAAACGCACCAGGCGGTTTCCAGTCTCGAAGTTGATTTCAAAATGCCTCAGTGATCCTTAGTTGATATCATGACCTTTAAGGTCAGGAAGACTGTCATCATTAGCTCCCGGCGGGACCCCGGATGGTAGCGAAGGACTGATCCCTCTGCGACGGTAGTTGACATCCTCGTCAGAGTCGGATCCCGTGTCTACAGGAAGCTTGTCCCAGGTCAGCGCAAATTCCTGTCTGCTTGCTGTGGGCCAAAGTGTGCTTCTCAGAAGTATTGACTACCCCGCAGCCAGGAAGCTTCAATTGAGCCATGTCGTTCCCTCCAGCATGAAGACTTAAATGAAGTTCTTTGCCACGAAAGAGGGCTCCAATTAGCACCGGTAGTTGTCCTTTTCCCTTCTTAGAGGCTCTGTCCAGCAGGTCGAGAGCTGCCGAGTGAGGGAAAGAATTGGTCCTGCCAACCTCAAGTCCCAAGAAGAATGCTCCAAATGTTGGGGGTTCACTTCGTCGAGGACCTTGATTGTAGGTCCAGTATGGTCCAGTCAGCCGGACGAATGAAGCCTTCCAGCAAGATACATTGAGCACCTAGAGCATTGGTGCCGTGGATCAAGGCCCATGTGTAGCCATGCCGACCTTTGAATGGGTCAGGCAAAGCAAATCGGGAAATGCCAGGCAGTGGGATGATCAACGCTTGATTTTGGGTCGTGCGCAGGTCAATCACCTGAGCACGGGAAATATCCACGGCATCGAGGAGGCCAGCCCCAGCAATGATGTTGGCAGCTAGTTTTGCCGTTGGTTCTGGGATATCACGGCTGATATTGGAGATGGAGTCCAACATGGCCTGGAGCTGGGTCTCGTCAGTCGAGAGAAGAGGTTGTGGTTTTCGCGCCTCTGAAAGTTCACAGGCAGCCTTCATACGAGACTTGTGGTGAAGGGCGAATTTGATCTTCTTTTCCCAGTTGGCTTGTGTGTCATCCGGAAAATTGAGACGGACATGGCCATCGCGCAATGGGGTTGATTCCTGGGATGAAGGCTGGTGTGATTTGCCCTCGTCTTGCCATTGATGTTTTGCAGGTTTGGGAGTGTGCTGAGGCTTCCTCCTTGCCTGGAAGAGCAGGCTTTGAGAAGTGGGAATGAAAGTGTGAGTAAGCAGTGAGAAGTTTCGTATGGGAGGACTTTGGTGCAGCAGAAAGACGAGCAGCTGGATGGGATTTGTTGGAGGTGTCTTGTGCATGGTGAGTGGAGGAATCCCACCATGCCTGGTTGGGTGTGGTGGTTGGTTGTGGGCCCGTTTGTTCCATTTTCTCAGTCCTGGGAAGTGTCTTGGCCATAACGGTGATCCTGTTCGAAGAGGACCAACCCTGGCGATCATGGGTGTAGGTCCGTTCGTAGGACTGACATTGTCGAGTAAGGGAGTTTGGTGACTCCGGAATGTCTCGGAGGATCATCACGGGAGAAGTCATAGGTGGGAGAACCATCATTGGGAGAAACCGATCGAAGGGTAAAAGAACCCTCTCGACGAGGGCGAGAGGACCGACGTCGACGTCTCCTGGAGTCAGCTGACCTGGCACGTCGTCGTGGAGGGCTGCATGGTGTTGGGATGGGACGTTTGAAATCCCGATGGTGGTCCCTAGTCGGTGCTGGAGAGCGCGACCGACGCGAAGGCTGAGATGGACCTGGAGCATTGGAAGGTTGTGCGACACTAGGTAGCGTCAGTGGTTGTGGAGGAGTAGGAGGAATCGTGACAAGTGGTGCAGTTGGTGGTGGTGGGGACTCCTTGAACTTGGCTTGGACGTTGAGGCGCGTCTTCTTAAGCATCTCATCGGAATTGAATGGAGGTGGTGTTGGTTTTGGCACTGCTGGTTGAACCTGTGGTGCAGGTGGTTCAGGTTGAACAGGCACCTGTGGTGGAGGTGTCTGTTGTGGAGATGATTGTTGTGGGATCAGTTTTTGAAGATGTTGGATATGGGATATGGATTGGCTCGCCAGTTGTTGATTGAGCAACGCATTTTGCTGTTGTAATGCGTTAACCTGAGCCTTAGTCTGAGCTTGAGACTGCGCCTGTTGTTGGAGTTGAGGATCCCCTCCGCAAAATTGTCCAGGAATGCCCTGATGCGGAGGAGTTGCCATCGTTGACGGATTCCACATAGAGTTCCACGTTGGATCTGGGGCATTCGAAGAAGTGCCCATCCAGGCACGAGAGTTCCACAGAAATGGAAACATGGCAAATTGGAAAAGTCCGGTAGCCTAGATGACAACAGTTTAAACCACATGATGCATCCACAAAAACAATGCAAGAGGTCGTGATAGGGCTTGAGGCCCTCGTAGACAGCTTAAGCATTCAACCCTCGAATTGGTGCACAATTGAACCTCACGAGAGTAACCAAAAAGAAAGAGACCACACCTGGAAGGCATGTCCTGAAACCTAAACCTGGTCATGTGACATGGTGCAAAATGTCGAGCTCCGTACTCTCTTGGGCAACGTTGAAAAAAGATGGTTGGCGCGGCTGATGGCTACTGGCCAGTGAAATTCAAAAAAGGTGAGTCCCCGAACAGCAAGCAACTGGCATGGCCGGCTGTTTCACTTTACTTTGACGAATTACTAGGTTGAAAAATGCAAATTCAGAGATCAGGTCGGAGGATCGAAATTCCTACCTAGAAAGGTATTCCCCGAAGGGTTCATGCCACCTTGGGTGTCCCAACCTGTTCAATCCGCATCCATGAGCCCACCGGGGAAGGAAAAGGAAAGGTGCACCCAGCTATACACACGTATCCAGTTTTGCACCAGCGGAGGGGGGGGGTTAAGCTAAGTTGCCGAAATTCAATTGATTCAGAACTTTGTGTCAAAATTCCTGGCCGTACGGCCTGCTTCTGTCTTGTGGCATCCTCCTGTCTTGTGACTTTTTCATGTTTCCATAATTCATGTATTCCGGCACCAAGTCCCGTCACAATTCGGAGGTATTGCAATACCCCACTTTACACCGGAAGGGCGGCTCCAATGGCGCGGGCGGTATTACGGCATATAGAGGGTACAGACGGCATTCTGTGCCCGTGACGCACTGATGAGAATAGATTCTTACTCTGATGCGGGGCTTTAGAATGTTGAGGTGGTTGTCGCCTGCGCAGTACCTAAGAAGCCACCTGGGCCACCTAGTAAATCTGAAGCAAGCAAATTTTGTAGATTTTGTAGATGACCTGGTCCAATCACCTGAAACAGCCTGATGAGAACAGCTTGCCTGAGTTTTTTGTAGGTACACATCAGGACGTCTCCTACTGCATCGCCAGAGAATGTTGGCGTCTTAGCTGGCAGTGATCCCACAAACTCTGTCACTGCCCCGTGCTGAGTTTAACATTCATTGATTCTTTCCCGCATGACAGCTAGCGGGTTAGCCCCACACCCCCACACCCCCACACCCCCACACCCCCACACACCCACACACCCGCACACCCACACACCCACACACACACACACCCCACTATTTCATATTATATATCTCATCGCTCGTCCTTGCAACCTGTGACGCTGGAAGTGCTCCTTTGCTCTGCTCACCCCTGCAAGACAAGGGTCCTGACTGTTGACAGCTTGCCTCAGCTTGAGCCTCAGCGGGGTCACCAAAACATACAGCCATCAAATGCGCGAGGTTGCAGGAAGGCTGCTGCCTTCCTAGCTGAGTGACAGGCATGGTTTCATTCAACTTCTCTTGTCCAAACTTTTGCGCAATGAGGCCTGCAGTTGCGTCTCTTTATTTTTTCAATTCAGGAAAACAACATTACATGAGATACATCCTCCTAACTCCCCAAAAACAAAGCAGCCAAGCTTCTCTCCAGGTTTCGCCTGACCTCTGGCGGCCCACCAGGCGCAAACAACATCGAGCAGCCCAGAGATGCCCAGATCATATTTGAAGAGGTGGACGTGACTGCCATGCGAAGATCAAGCCATCAAGGCCATCAAGGCCATCAAGGCCATCGGGCTCTCAAGGCCATTAGGCTACCAACCAACAAGGCTATGAAAGTGCAGCTAAGCTTCTCTTGTCAGCATGTGATCGGTAAACTGATCCGGAATACCTGGAATCACGTCACAAAAATGATCAAGCCACAGGTCTTGGATGGTTTTGGTCTATCCATGTCTGCCTCATTCATGTCATTGAGACGCATGTTCAAAATAAGGTGACACAACTTGAGTCCCAAGGGTTGAAAGCTAAGCAGGGTAAAATGCGAGCCAGCAGTGCCAAACAAGACTCGGAAGGGAACATGGGCGAGGTGCGCTGGGTGATATGTATGTATATATATATACATATACATACGTGCATGTATATGTACATAAATGTATACGTGATATATATGTATACGTATATGTATATGTATACGTATATGTATATGTATATGTATATGTATATGTATATGGTATGTATATGTATATGTACATGTATATGTATATGTATACCAGTAGTAGTACCACACAAGGTGGTGGCGGAAGTTTCAAAGATAGGAAACTATAGGAGAGGTGAGTGGTTGTGATGCATGATGGCAGAGCGAATCCACTGAAGGACCGAAACGTGGTTGTGATTTTTGGGGTGTTGCAGAGGTCACCTCACCCACAACAGCGGGATGTAATGCGGCGTAGCGAAGTGCAATGTAATTGCAGTTGTAGGTGTAGTAGTAATGTAGTTGATGTTGTTGAAGTTGTAATGTTGCAGTTGTAGTTGTGGTTGTAGTTGTAGTTGTAGTTGTAGCGTAGTTAAAAGCGCAATTGAAATTGTAGCAATTGTAGTAATTGTAGTAGCTGTAGTAGTTGTAGTTGCAGCAGTAGCTGTAATTTTAGTGTAGTTGTAGTTGTAGAGTAAGTTGCAGCGTAGTGGTAACTGCTGTAGTGTAGTTAAAATTGAAGTTGTAGCTGCAGTTGTAATTGTAGTGTAGCTTACTGGTAGTGGTAGTTGTAGTTGTAATATAGTGGAGGTTGAAGCTGCAGTTGTAGTTGTAGCGTCGTGTACTTGTAGTTGTAGTTATAACCTGGTGTAGTCTAGTGTGTGGCAGTTGTAGTTGAGTGTAGCTGCAGCTGTAGTTGCAGTGTAGCTGTACTGAAGTTGAAGTTGAAGTAGTAGTAGTAGTAGTCGTCGTCGTAGTAGTAGTAGCAGCAGTAGTAGTAGCAGTAGCAGTAGTAGTAGCAGTAGCAGTAGCAGTAGTAGCTGTAGTAGCTGTAGTAGCAGTAGAAGCAGCAGTAGTAGTCGTAGTTGTAGTTGCTGTAGTTGCTGTAGTTGCTGTAGTTGTAATTGTAGCTGTTGCGTTTTTTCCACAATCTCTTGTGCCTTGCAGGCATCTACATGCATAAGCAGCGAGAATTTCCTTTCTAACGAGTTGCCATTTCGGCTTCCAATGTGATCTCGATCTACGTTTTTGAGTGGACTCAAAATTACAATCCAAAGAAGCTTGGATAAGCACCGACCATAATAAAGCAACTTTGTTACGGGGTCTCAGGTGTAAAGGAAAGGCACTTAATTTGATGAGGCCGAATGCAGAACCATGTTTTGCAGCCTTGTTTTCGGTGATTTGAGGGAAAGCATGTAACAGAAAATGGATCCAAACAGAACGAAATCTTGTAATGAGAAGGCCAAAGCTCTGTTCAGAAGGAAGGACACCATCGAGAAACCCCTGGCTTGAAATAGTGTCTATCATGAAGAAAGCCCATGGGGTCCAATCTGCCGTGTCCGTCCAATAGGATTGGTTGATGCTATCTAAAATGTAAGATTTCATCAGAGATCTTTCTTTTCCGGGGAATTTCAACAGTATCCATATTGGACGGGGCACACAATGTTGCACGTGATTCAAGCCATGCGTGAAATGTGGGATATCGGGCTTCAAGCCCTTTCCAGATATCGACTGGGACATGCAATCGCTGGGAAAGGAGGTGTAGGAAAGCCGCACGTCTGCAGTGCGGCGGGACACTTTCCCAAACAAACGACCTGAGTTTTCTTGGCAACGAACACATGTGCAAAGTAATCTGGTATCAATAGATGTGTTGACATTTTGGCCACCAACTTGGGAAACATCCACAAACCCGAGATCACGCAACAATGCGTCATTTGAACGTGCTACGAAGATTTGCATTATGTGGACTTGCAGGTCGAATACCCACCGCAGGGATGGGGTCAGATCACAAAAGTTATTGCCAAAATGTTCTGCCGCTAGAGTCTTAGCAGCTCCATCTGCTTTGGCATTGCCATCCGTCAAATACTGACTCTGGCTAGCATCACGACCATGGGCAGCAACTTTAAAAACCAAGACAGGCCCATTTCTGACAAGAAGAGATTGGCAAATTTCAGACCATAGGTCATAATTATCCCACTTGTTGAGAAGGTCTAGTCAGAAACCTGAAGATTTCAAAATGTTAAAGCCTCTGACCACGGTGTCACTGTATATATGGATTTCGCCGTTGAAAAGCCGAAGTGACACTGCCAAGGCAGATAGTTCTGCCCTTTGCGGTGAATGATCTGGCCCCGCAACCGGATATTGAAAAACGCCTCTTTCAAGTGAGTAAATTCCCACGGCAGCACTTTTGAATCTTTTGGATCTCGAATAAAAGCAGCTACCGTCGATGAAAATGTCACAATTTGAAGTGAGTTCGAAAGGTGCCGGAAGTTCATACCGTTGGAAATCAGAAGAGCGGCTTTTCCTCTTCTGCAGATCCTCTTCTGATTCAAAAATGATTCCCGTGGTCCAGCTGGTTCGCGGGACGTGTTCGGGCACAACAGGCAGATCTAAAACTGGGCATTCATTAAACATATGCACAAGAGTTTCATCGTCGTTCTGACAAAGAGGACATTGCGCGGAATCAACCAATCCTGACCTCTGTTTACGAGGGCCATCAAAAAGTGATCCTGTAAACATAAAGGGCAGGATAAGTTTGGCGTGCTGAATGCTTGTCGGGATTTGAGAAATATGTTGGGCCAACACGTCGGAAACATCCGAACTGGCAAAATCACCATCTGCAAAAAAACGTGTGAGTTCGATATTGATATGTCGGTCTTTTGCGTCTCCCAGATTGTCATGTCGAATTGGGGATTGAGCGAAAAGTCTTTGGCGAACAGATCTTTCTAGCTCTTCCTGGAAGAAAGTTTGGCTGCCACTGTGCAAGTAGAAGTTGGCATCGGATCTCCGACTCCACACACAAAGGTCATCTGCCCATGTCCATCCAAGATCCTTTCACAACCTCGCCAAAACAACTGGAGCTCCATTCACCCATGCGGCCCAAGGGTCTATCCAAACATCACTGTGAGTAGATGTCGCAAGAAAGGGGGACCTCATGTTATTTTTCCTAGGAAAAACAGCGTTCACGACCCCAGTCCTCAATTTACCGAATGCTGTCTTTGATGGTGCTTGAATTTCAGAACCATGTAACCATTGAGAGTGCGCATTTAATTTGATATAAAACCCTTTTTGCCACCCTGACAATGGAAGTTTGGATACCTTAAGAACTGTAGCCTTAGCCTTTTCCAACCTGGCATCCTGTAGTTTTCCTCCACCCCGTCTGTGGGAAGTGTGAAAGAACCCGAGTGATTTGGCACTAGTCTTTTTTGTGAGCCTCCTTCCAACTTGAATGAGAAAACGTTGGGTTTCCTTCTTTTTGCGGCATAAAATTGCGGACTTGGCGTCGTTTTGAATTTGCCCAACAGCCGCGTCAAAATTAGAAAGCTGGGACGCCGCATTTACCAGGGCTGGGAAATCAGACACTTTACTCCACAGTTTTGTATCATCCAAGAATGACGCAAAAGAGATCTGTGCGGTGTTCTGTATTCGTTTGGCAAATACTGAGAAAATCAAATGTGCAAACAAAACGCTGAATGGACATCCTTGTATGATTCCGTTGCTTTGTACCACCCGGGGCCCAAAGAAGGGACCAAGCTTGAAACATTTGTATTGCCCACTAAAGAAGCCCTTAATGCACGTAGCAAGATGGCCAGGGAGACCCAGATCCCGGGCCAAAGAAATGCAAAACGACGGAATCAACAGGTCAAAACATTTAAACCGGTCAACGAAAAGTAGCATGCGTGGTTCCCCTTCATTCAACTCATTTTCAAACAATTCAGACCATCTTTAAATCTCTCATAGCTGCTAGCAAACTGGGGTAGCGATCAGAAACAATCACCGGCGCCTCAGTGCGACAAAAATGACGCAATGCAAGTTCAACTGAAGCTTGTGACTTGGATGCAGTAGGATAAGCCATGATGCAACCACTGAACTGATCAACGCATACCACTGCATAGGGCTCATGTTTGAGACCCTCTTCGGTGGATTCAAGATGATCAATGCACACCCTTTCCAAAAACCGAGTAGGAGCTTCGATGGTTCGGCCTTCCTTGACATGTTCTGCTTGATTGCGGAACTTCTTGTGGGGTTTGATACGTAGTTTCGATTGGCGACAAACGTCACAAGTGGATGATGCCGGTTGATGACAAAACAAATGATCAACAGGAATGCCTCCCTTGACCTTCCGGGATGCAACTGGAGAGGCACCGGGCTCCTGCGGAACAAGTGGCTTCGGTGAATCCCTTGGTAAGTCAGCGCCTTTGGGAAAAGAAGGTGAAACCAACAATTCTCTTGGAGTTTGTGGGATGGCTTCGCCGATCAGTTCTGGGGGTGTGAGTACCTCGAGATTGGCCACATCATCTGGTACTCTAGAAGCGGGTTCAATAATTTCAACATCATCATCATCATCATCATCATCACGTGATCTCAGGGACCAAAATCGGTGTGACATCACCATCACCAGGTACCGCATCGGATGCTGGAAACCCGGCAGGCATGCCATGAACAAAAGACACTGTTTCCTTGAAAACGGGAACACAATGATCAACGCGATCAGCAACAATGCACTGAGAAACATCAAAATCAACATTGAAACCGACATCCTCAGGAATGAGTGTAGGTAGATGATTGGGACCCCAAATGAACGAGAATCCTGATTCTACCAACTTTCCTAACGACTTCACAAAGGGCAGCGTTTCAACATGTACACCAACCCTTCCCCAAAACGTTCACCTTCGGTGCGAAATGTCATATTCGCTTCC